GCCTGAAGCCGCACCTCTTCCCCATCACTGTGCTGGGGCAGGTCATCTGCTCCCTGGCCCAGGTCTTCATCCTGGGCATGCCTTCGCGCATCGCCTCTGTCTGGTTCGGCTCCCACGAGGTGTCCACTGCCTGCTCCATCGCTGTCTTTGGGAACCAGGTAATGGGCGGCTGCCCCCTGCCTGGCCGGAGACTGGGAGTGCTAAGGGGGCAAACCAGGGAGGGGGAAGAGATGCACAGGGCCTGGAGGGCAGCAGCAACGGTAAGAGGCACTTACATGAAATTCCCCCCGGGAAATGCAGCTGGCACCTGGAGGGATGCAGCTGAAGCTAGGCTGTGGGCTGATGGTGGTGGCAGAGGCAAGTGGGACCTAAGTCTACAACGTTGGGGGCAGCATGGGGGTTGGATATGATTCTGGCTTTGAGAGATGTTTGGACTCAGGGTCTTCTCCAGTGCCCTCCTACTCCCGTGGCAGTGAATCTCCAGTCCAGGGGTATGATCCAGTAGAACCATGGATGGGCTGGAGGGGAATTCACGGTGCTGAGAAATAGTGCTTTAGGCAGAGTGTCCTGCAAATCTCAGATCTCCAGTTGCACCTAGACTTCACACTGCAATATCTTCCTCCTGCTGGCAACTGGATGGGACAAAGGAGATTAGCTGCCTGCTGAAAAGAGTACTTGTCACTGAGCCCTGAAGGAAAAGGACTTTAGCACTGTCATACCTCTTAAAAGTAGGTACAGAGTTACCACAAGCAGTTGCTTTGAAAAGAAACAAACCTTCCATCAGGCTAGGGTGAGGTAAGCTCCCTGAGCACTTGTATCAAGGTGGGTCAGGGAGGCCAGCGACCCACACTTGCTCAAGCTGTGATGGTCTTTTCTTGTAGCCAGCTAGTGCTCAGAGGATAAATTTTTCCACAGCTTTGAAGGGATCACGGAAATGGCTTCTTGACCCTTGCACCAGAACACCCACTCATCCCTGTTGCACGAAGCCGATAGGCCAATACTGATGCAATGTGGCATAAACGTAGTGAGTCTGGCTCTGCAACGCTGACACGAAGAAAAGGGAAGCAGAACCCGGCATTAGCTGCTAGGCTGGACCTGTGCCCCTTGGTTTGAGACCTAATGTACTCCTCTACACGTGACTCTGCACCACCCTGGACCGTCTTTGACTCAGCCTGTGGGTGGCTGCTATTCAGATTTTAATGGTTTGCAATTCAAGTAGTTTCTAATGCACGGTTCTTCCTCACAGATAACTTTGTGTGCACTGGGTTTGAGGTCTCCTTTCTCCACATTCCTGGGTTTCTGTATTTATTTAGACACTGCTGAGGCAAAAAGAGGTGAATGCTTGGAGATGGTATTTGAGGAACTGAAGTTTGTGAAACAGCGCTAGGGACTTAAGGAGATTCTGGTTTACATCTTTTGGAAAGAGAAAACATACTTATCTTTCTCTGAGTGAATCTTACTAAGCTTTCTTCTTCACTCTTATCACCCAGGCTAGTAGGCTGGTTTTTATGTGTTTTAAATGAATCTTTAGAGTGGAAGGCATTTAACTTGGCATGAGCACTCTGCTGATTTAGGAGTAAATAAGTAACTGAGCATTTTGCTCTCAGACTTTTTTTTAATTATTCAGGTGGAGTTAGTCAACAGTGTGCATAAGAAATCCAAACAATGAAGTTTTCAGCCTGTGCTATATGCATGTGTGGTATCCTCATCGTCTTAAAAGGAGCGGGTTAGTATAACAGTTGTGAAGAGCAAACTTTGACTACACTTTTTTTGTTCCACACTGCTCTGGGGGTTGAACTGACATGGCGATGAGACCTCAGTTCAGTACACAGCCTTTGCTTTGTAAGCCCAGACTCTCCTTTTAGAGAATTGGAGAAGTCAGAAATGGCAATGACTAAAGGCAGGGCATGCTCCATAGGAAGGAGTATTCATTCCCTTAGTCAAGGGTCCTGAGGTGCATAATCACAGTGAATGAAAAGTAGCTATTTTGTTTACTGGTGATGTCGGGCAGGGGGAAGAAATAGAGGCATCCTTTTCTTCTGACTCTGCAGTTAAAGACTGTGTTTTAGCAAAGGGTATAATACAGCGGGTTTGTAATTGCAGTATGCCAGTATGGCCAATTATTCCCTATGCCCATTCCTCTACTGTATGTTTTTCCTTTCCTTGCCACGTCACTTCGTTACAGGTCCTCGAGGTGGAAAACTGTCATGAGTTGTTATCATGATTATTATTATTGAATGCCAAGCACTGATGTCCCTCTCTACCAAGAATTGCAACCAACTACATGGAGGAGTGAGGCAGTGTCACTGCTTCCTTGTTTGATACATCTGCTCTCTTTCTGCTCCTACCCTCTCGGCCTTAGGCAGTACTGTCCTGAGGAGAGCCCTGCTTGCTGGTTCATCTAGGTCTGCTGGGGTGATGTCTGCTCAGGACACCGCCGCTGCTGCTTGCTGAGTGATGGTAACCGTCAGGTTCAGAGTTAGCCCTGAACAGTAAATCATTGAATCAGTCAGACTAGGTATGAAATATCTTTTAAATAACAAATAATCCCTAGTAGGGTATCAGATTCTCCTCGGTTGTTTCTGGTCATGTGTTGGCTGTGGTATCTAAAGTGCAAAGAAGGGTAAGATTGAGCACTCTTGAATCAATGCTGGAGAGCTTCTAGAAGAGAGGAGTCTGGACACCTGTGGAGGAGGTGATCACATTATCTTGTTTACCCACTGATGGTTTTCATGACATTTTACTTTTCCCCATTTTAACAGGGAGATATTAGTTCGTTTTCCTTGTCCCTGCAAGTGCATGTATGGGGAGGTGTGGAATGGGGTTTACTTGCATGTTGGATACTTTCGCATTAAAATATTAGTGTTACTAAAATATTACTAGCTTCTCCTTGCTTAAAAGATTAAGGAAGATCTATGTGGGAACTTTTTCTCAGGCTGAAGTTCTGGGCTAAGGAAGCAGAAGTGTTTTGGAGAGCTCACTGATGTCCTTCAGATGTGTTTGAATATTGGGAGGAATTTGTCAGACATGCTTCTGAAATACAGCCGTCGGTAGTAGCGTGCCTGCTACGTCGTCAGCAGTGTCACTTGAGGAGCTTGGTGCTGGATATCTACGTGAAGTCACATGCACAAGAGGTGGGCGGGAGAGAGCGGTTTGCGTAAGGCTGTGCTGCTTCCATTTTGGTGTATTGATTCATCAGCCCGTTCCCTGTTTGGGGCCATGGTTCAGACCTGACGGGTTGCAGCAAACGGGCTTCTGATTTCTACATTGGAGGGAGACTGTCCCCGCATTCTTGCTGGTGACAGGACTGCAGCGGGAAGAAACACTCTCCTGAGATACTAGCATTTGCAGGAGTATGGGCTTGCTGGAGCAGCAGGCCTTGCCCCTTCCTTTAACATACTTGCTCTGCTGTCTTTTGGGGATGAGGAAACACAGTGCTGTGGCGTGACAGAACTAACACAGTGGTGGGGATGTTTAGGTAACGAGTTAAATTCTCACAGCTTTTTGAGATTTATAAGCTGGAGCCTGGTGGCCAGGTACCAGCTCTCTGCTTCAGCTGTCATGGTGCATGCTGGACTGCTGTGCTTGGGCCAGGCTTCTTCAGGCATGTTAGGGGTATCTCCCTATTGTCACCTGATGGACATGCGACATGGGCAGCACTCAGAGAAGTGTATAACTGTTGCACAGGGGCAATGAAAACATTTCTGTTTGTGACTTTGTATCGCTTTGCCACCGATATTGTTACTTTTTTTGATTGAAATAGGCCTTGTTCCCGGCTCTTGCCATTCTGACAAAGAGAAACAAGCAGCTGATGGGCTTGGGAGTAAGGATGCGGGTGTGTTAGACAATCTTTCTGCTGTAATTTTGCCTCTTCATTTTTTAGCAGGGATCTAATCTAATCTATCTATCACCTTTGATAAAAGGTGTTGATGTGGTTTGGGAGGAAAGAAAACTTCAGCTTCATGTTCATCTCTGCCTCTGGGGAAAGATGATGCAGTACCTTACTGATCTTCAGGAGTCCTTGTTCTGATGCAGCTGGCATGTGACTTCAAAGATTCAGGGCTTCCCTAACAGAAACGGCTTGAGGCAGAGCTTCTAGGTGCTATCTGCAGACTGCTGGGAGTGCCAGTCTAGCAGTGATTAGGTGATGGCTTTTGAAGTGGACAAACTGGATGATAAGCTGTGAATGAGATTCAGGGAAATGCTCTCTCTCTCCTGTCTGCATGGGGCAGGAGGTGGGGTGGGTGTTGCCTCGGGTCTGCAACATCTGAATGGCCATTGCTTTTGTGCTGGTGAACCTGCAGTGCTGTTCATGCCGAGCATGTGCTGCTGTTTGATGCCTCACTGCTAACTCTGTTCTGTATCTTTCGCCCTTCAGGGAAGGCAGCATCTGAAAGCCGAAGAAGTGTTGTGGAAATGGAGAACATTCTGTGGAATTCCTGTCTTCGAGTGGACTTCTAGTTCTCTTTGGCTGTTCTGTCCCTGCTGGAGGCTCCCCATCTCTTCAGATGAGATTTGATCCCTGTTAGAAATAGGGGCAGGTGGTGGTCTGCCTCACATCCCTCTGTAGCTTGGCCCTATATCTCCCAGGGTTTTAGCTATTAGAATAGAGAAGATTTTAGCAAGGAACCAAGAGGAGCTGGTAGTGGCAGCAGTTAATGGTTGACATTCTCCAGCCCTGGCTCCTTTCTCCCCCTGTAAAGAAGGTCAGGGTGGGTCAGAGCACTTGGATCACAAGGAGTGCTGTGTGGCCAGCTCTCCAAGATCCTGGACGTGGCTCAGTGGGGGAGGGGGGGCTGGCCAACTAGCAACGTGGC